AAAAAACTAACAGCAATCGATTGTTAGGCAGCAAAAACTTATAAAAAATTTCCATGGCGTTTGGGTTTCCTTTTCGCTGTTTATTCGGATGAGGGCAACTGGGCAAGCAAGGCCATGGCGTTTGAAGCATGATTTATTTTGTTTCTTTTATTTAATAAAGAGAATAGCTCATACATTTGTCCTTTATTTTGAACCATTAGATTTTATTTAATTAGAATGAATCTAAGGGTTGAAAATTTACAGCTGGGGCTGCTATTAGTGGGTCACAGCAGCCCCCCTCAACCCTTTCCACAATGGTAATATTACAATTGCATATACTGTTGTTTTTAAAACAACTACTTTTAACACAAAGTCTAATATTACAATTGTTGTTTATTAAACAACTTTAACACATAATTCTCTAGAATTAATTTACAAATTTTAATTTTTATTAACAAATATTTGTTCAAAGGTCTCTATAATTTTCAAGAGGAAATACATACCAATTTGTCGAATTATCATCAATATCTTATAGCTAGTTATTATAGGAATATGCTAAAATTTGAAAATCATATCACTTTGATTTTATTTTGTCAGGTGCAAAACGTATTGTAACATTAGGTCTAGGAGATGACGATCAATGCATTGAAGATGATTTCTCGGCTTGGTATGTTGTATGCTTGCCTATCACCTATATCTTTTAAAATTCTAAACAATTTAAGTTTTCTTGACCGTGTCTGTTCCCCTTTTTTTTTTTTTTTTTTGTACTTCATGCTTATATGAATTTCTGAAACTAATGAACATTCACATATAATAGGAATTCCTGATGTTCTAACCATGAGAATCCCTTTCAATTATAGGAAGGAGCAACTTTAGGTTGAATTAGATCTAATACTCAGGGGCACCGATGATGCAGGCTCGGCGCCTGCTCCATACACAGCTGCAATTCCAGAATATAGAGTTGTGGTGTGTAATCGGGGAACGACATCTTATGATGATAACCATGCAAATTTTGCTAATGGGGATGCTTCATATGATGTTCACCATCCATGCAGGTACTTTATTCTGTTAGTGTGTATTTACTAATATGATTACTGACAAGGTCGTTATTTATTTCTCTGAAGAGTCAATGTTGTTGTTCAAAGAGTGCTTCACACCTCTGAATCTGATCGCTCTTGCATACACCTGGAGTTTGATTTGTCTGAAACTGGTATAGTGTAAGTCTGTCAGATTTTCAGCCATCTTCTTATACCCAAGTTATCACTATTCTCCGAGGTCTTAGATCTAACATATACGTGCGCGAATAATTTTTCCTTTTTTTATTTTTTTTTCCGTTCTTTTGTCATATCAGAAAGTATACGTGATAGGTGCTATTTGTGTGTGTATCACGAGGATGTAGTTTATCACTTATGAAGAAAATTGAGAGGAAATCTTCTACCATGTAAAGATTGTGGTCCTACTTTTGGAAACCTCGTTCCTGATCTTCACATCCATTTGCCACTGTAACCAATAAACCAAATTGCTGCAGGCTGGGCTTCTTCGCTCATATTCACAAATAAGAATTGGAGCTCTTTTTAAGTATCTTAATTCTGTGAATGAACTATATTGTGGAAATCACTAAAATAGTGAACAATAATTTGAAAAAACTTATGTATCACTGTATCTATCTACACAGAGTGTAATTTCTAAATACATGTAACAGAAATTCAGTTGCATAACTAAATTTGGTTGCTCTATATTAATTTCAAATTGTGGTCGTCCTTCCTACTGGAAGAATGTAGTTTGAAGGACATTCTGTTAAATTCATACCAAGTCTCGTTCTGGCCCTTTTTTCTGGTAAAGTAGTTTTTGTTATCTTGACTCATTGTTAGAGCATGATCGAAGGGTGATTCAGACATGAAATTATAAAAACCTCATTTGTGATCTCGTTCTTGGCTTGTATGATAGTCTAGATTTCGACCTAAATGATGGATTGTGTCAGATCAACTTATTACCACATGGATATAAATGGTGAAAACTATCTAGTATACATATGTATAATAGCATTATCCTAACTCCTATTACAGTAACCCTTGTTGTATTTGAAATATACTGAGAACTGATGGTCATGGCATTATGGGACTGGATCTTGTGATTACAATAGGATCTCAAGTTATAATTATTTTTATTTTTATTTATTTAATTTGTTTTCTCCTCTCTCTAAAGAGAACTAAGATATTGGATTTCATTTATCCAACTCGAGCACAATTTTGTTACTACATTTGCTATTTTGCCTCGTTTCCGTTTTTTATTCAATCCTTTCATTTGGAATTTTGGTATCGTTGTCCTTTATGTTTTTTCTTGTTCAGGTATGGAACTGATGATCACTTGGGTGTCTTTGCCGAAAATTATAGTGGAACTGTTGAAGAAGCAGCAAAATTATTAGTACAACCTTTGGATTTACTATTTTCTATCCACTCTGACAGAGACGATGGTTCCTCCCTTAGAGGTTCATTGCCACCTCCATTTTTTCCTGGACCTTGCACGCTTCATACTGCTCTAACACGCTATGCAGATCTATTAAATCCTCCTTGAAAGGTGTAAAGTTTTTTGTTCCTTCGGGTTTTTTCCCAACCTTCTTCCTGTGAAATGTTTTCCCTTAGAGATTTTATATATAAAAATGATTATAGTTATCATCAAGAAAAAATAAAGAAAAATATACCACCAGCATATTTAGAAAAAGAAAGAAATTTATCTAATAGAATATTAAATATAGATTGTGCAATCAATGCAGAAGATTTAATAGTCACTTGGACTAACCAATTAAAACTATTAGTCCAAACTAATGATTCAATGATAAATGGAATGACATTAACAGATTTTGTCAATTACATAAGATATAAAACATCAGGAGTATTATTTGATTATCTAGAAAATACTCAAATCCTACTTAATCTTGAAGCTAGTGGTTCAGAAATAGGAGCATAATATAAAATAGCAGCCTTAAGAGAATTAGCAAAAAATTTATTAAGAGAATTTTTAGGAATTACAGGGCAAGAATCAAAAGAAACACAAAAAAATAAAGTAGTTAGATTTCTAACTAACATGAAGTTATGCAATATATGTTATATCAAAAATTTCTTCTGTCAAGTAAGAGAAAATTTTTATAAAATTAAGAATCGATCAGGACTAATAGAAATAGTTGAAAGCAAACTTAAATATGAAATGAATAAATATATTCAGAAGAAAATTAATGACACAAGAGAAGAAAAAACTCTAGGAATTTTAGAAAAATATACAAAAGAATATAGAGATGAACTCTGTATAAGGAAAATAGAACACCATGAAATGACTAAAGTCGATTCAAGATGTTGTAAACAATTAGAAAGTGTACCGCAAGAATTTGGTTGTTATGAACCATATAGAAAGAAAAATATTATAAATACATTAAGTTTAACAGACGATATAGACCAAGAAGATATAAAACATTTAGAAAACCGTGGAAAGCAAAATATAAAGGAAAGTTTAGAAAACAAGAAAACTACTTAGGAAAACCTAAATATTGTCCTAAAGGAAAAAAGAATTGTAGATGTTGGAAAAGTCAAGAAATAGGACACTATGCAAACGAATGTCCTAAAAACATACCAGAAAAAGAA